TCACTTGCAAAACTACTGAAAATGAAGTTTTAGTGCTTTCTCAATCTCATATCTGTATTAAAGTTTCATGGCCAGAAGAGATTATGAATGAGGCAGAAAAATTAGCGCATCAGACTGCCCTGCTATGATCCTCCTTCCTTCCATCCAATTATTTCTAACAAGTCCCTTGTGCATTGGTATGGACTGTGAGCTGCTACACAAAGCCTAAAAACACAGTACATTCAAAACAGGTTCCAGCCAAAATAAAGGAGTATTTTTTTGTGGGGGAAAAGAAAAAATGAGATATCAACTGGGCAGGAGAGAAATAACACCAGAAGAGAGAGACACAGTGTGACTGTGAGTCAGGAGAGAAGGCAGTAAGTCAAGTAGCGCATGCACCAAGGCAGTGCCCACCACATGCCTAGCCATCCATCTTCTAAAAGGTTGCAAGAGGTCAGGGAATTGAGGAAGAGGGTAGTTGTTCTTCTGCCTACTTTGGACCATAATAAAAATGTATGTACTGAGGCTGTCCCTTTCATTCTTTCTCTCCTCATCTGAATCCAGCCCACCTCCCACCTTTTCTTTTCTTGTCTGCCTGTTTTCTCGCTTCCTTCGTAAGGAAAAGGTTGAAGTCAGCTCCCACTCCTGCACTTTCCATGTTGCCTGGCAGTTGAAGAGAAATGTGAGGCAGGGGGAGACTAAATGCTGTGCATCCACATCAGCCACTGAAAAATGCTTCAAAACCAGATTTCACTGTCTCTTCATTACCCACTGCTGAGGGCCTCACAGAGAGACAAGGGACTGCGCTATGATGTCAAGGAGGTCCAAGGCACAGGCATTATTTCCCTCATCACCTTTGATTGGCTGTCGTCCCTGAGACTAAGGGTAGGGACCAACAGAGAAGAGCTGGGAGGTCACTGGAAAGGCAGGCTCTTGGTGTTTTTTGTTAATTGGTTTGCTTCCCAGGGCTATTGACATCACACAGCGGAGTTGAGAGTGTACTCATTGTTTGTTCAGTTCCATAGGTTTCAGAGATGCTTTCTTTCTTGTCTTTGTGGCCCTCTTGTGTAGGCATTGCAGCCCGCCAGTAGTTTGTGGATCCCGGGTTAACAACTGGCTCACTCTACCACTTCGTAGAGAACATGCCTACCTGAGTAGCAATGGGGACTGACTGCTAGTAGGCAAAAACTGTGCCGGGAACAATCCATCACAGCACACGCTTATCATTACATGGCAAACTGGTGATTATAATTCAAGCAACTTGCAAGCTTGCAACTCAAATAAAAGAAGGCCTATGCTGAGCACAATTCTTAAAGAACTGCACACCCTAAAACTATTCACACTAGGAAGAAACGTTAGCAGCAGAACTAATCAATACACTAAATGGTCAGGCAGAAGGATGCATGGAAGGTTTCTAGTCAATGAGAAGTGTACATAAGACTTATGGGATGGTCCGAAGATTTGGAGGCAACACATAGATCTGTACTTGGTGCATAACCTTTTCTGGCTACTCTTCCCAGTTTGGGTGTGACAAAACGTTGTGAGAGTTTACTAGACAAAATCGAAACACATTCAAAGTTATCAAAGAAGTACTTTGAAGAGCAGGAAGTCAATAATTTAAGCAAATGCTTGGAGTTTAACATAGTATAATGAAGTTACAGGAAGCTGTTTTAATAATCTTTGATAGTAATGGCAGAGTTCCCCAAATCTCACTTCAACCAGATATGGAGTTGTATTGTCAAAGGCCTTCACAGCTGGAATCACTGGGTCTTGTATGTTTTCTGGGCTGTATGGACGTGTTCTAGCAGCATTTTCTCCTGACGTTTCACTTGCAACTGTGGTTGTGATCCTCTGAAGATGCCGGCCACAGATGCAGGAGAAACATCAGGAGAAAATTCTGCTAGAACATGGCAACACAGCTTGGAAACCACACAACAGCCCTGATATGGGGTTGTTTTCATGAGGTAACATTTTATCCTTTGAGAGAGAGAAGAGTCATATCATTTCAAAAGGTTACAAAGAAGATACAGGCCCAACTCATACCGTCAAAATCAGCACCTGTATTCATAAGGGCCAGGACGTTCTGCCCTGTTAAGTTTTTAAGTTTCCAGAGGTTGATTTGTGGTAAGTCAGTACAGAGAAACACACACAAACAGAGGCTAGGAATTGCCTTTTTTTTTTGGAAAGGTTTACTTTTGTCCTATTGCAACAACCATGACACAGTGCATCGTTGAGAGTTGCAACTTGGTGTCAGAGTCCCCTTTTAAAGGTTACACAGAGTCAGATGCTGTGGACAAGAATGCATTACATCATGACTTAGTGGTACTTCTACTCATCCAAGGGTAAAGCAACTGTGGAGAAAGTGGATTAATTAAGTGAAGGCTAAGAACCATTACAGGTTACTGGCAAGGCAAAGCCATGAACAACTGGCTTTACTCAGGTTTTCTCTAGAGAAGAACTAGTGTTCAGTGTGCAGCGAGTGGAGAAATTTGCTTTCAAGCATATGGAAAACATTTAGGGGTTGTAATGAGGCCCTAGAGCTAAGGCAACATTACATTACATAGCGAGACACCTCCTAATGGGAAGCTGCATCTTTGGGAATCCACAGCTGAGTCCTTTTAAGTCCCTCAGATTTCACAGGAATTGTAGGGAGGGGGAAGAGTTAAGCACAGACAGAAAACCAACTATTGTTCCCAAATAAAGTACAGCCACTGACCAAAGGGAACATAGTAAATCAAAACTTATGTATGTAAATTCTATTAACTCAATGGCTCTACTCTAGTTTGGATTAACCATTGGATTGTGGCCACGGATAACTGCCCCACAGACACCAGTATGGCTCAAAATGTATGCACTTTATTGTAAGACAGAAATACTCTGATTAACATTCCAGAGGACATATAATTTCTGTGTTTGGGACACAGTGAACATCTAGATTAGTAAGCAAAGCCATTCTAAGTGGACACATGGGACCAATGCCTAGTGATGCTTTGATATTTCAAAGCAACGCACCACCCCAGGGTGCTAATCCATACAACAGAGATGCTCTTGAGGCACTCTCTATGGGGCTGTAGACAAGTAATCCATTCCAGCTCCAGCACAGCAGCACTCCCTCTCCTGCACTGCTTCCCTCCCCATCATGGAATCTATAAATCACTTCTGGCAGGTAACTGGGAAGCAGCTGCTAATGATAGTTTTGCTCTGGAGGAGAGGAAGTCACCTTTTAACCCTGCCTGCTGTTGTTTGTCTTATAACTATGACAAGAGAACAGATGAAAACAACATGCCAACTGTCACAAAGGCTCTGGTCACAGTTGCTCCAGGAAAAAGCATCAAAGGCCCAGAGCAACGTTATTATGTTTTTCAGGTTGAGGATGTTTGTTCCCTTGGTCAAAACATCTGACCGGGTGCATTTCCTCATAACCATTCCACCAGTTTCTCATCATATATTTTTTTTGCAAACCCACCAAATTCTTGATATCACTCACATAGCTATATTTTTTGCCTATGTATTGAACAGACATTGCAATTCTCTACTCTACAAAAATGTTGGACACTTTAAATACCCTGCTCTTCCTCCTCCACTGCTTGCTTTATTCAATTTATTTAAAGCATATGTGTGGCTAAGACCATCAGAGTTTTTGTTCAAAGACTAGAAAACTGATTTCCCAAGGCATGTGTTCAATTTTTATTTGCATAATTCCGAATGTACAAATACAGATTTGTATTACTGCATCCACTCAGGATTTCAGTTCCCAAAATGTGAGTTCAGGGCCACAATCAATCAATCATTATAAAATGTTGTAATACAAACTGTTTTGGTAATCACCGAGTCTCTTTATATCAGTGGTTCCCAACCTTTTTTTTGACCAGGGACCACTTTCAACATTAGTACCAAAAGGGTTACGAATCAGTTTTTGGTCAACTTTAGATTCGGTTTGGTTATTAGGGGTGCTGATTCAGAAAATTGCATTGGATAGACCACATCAGCTCTAGTTTCTGATACAGAACATATGCCGTCCAGTAGTTGGCATCTACTCGCCCACAGAAAACCATATCTAATAATCATCGGCACTATAAGAGGGTTTCGTGAGACCAGTCGCTCTCATCCCAACATCCCCATTGACTCGGCACTATAAGAGGGTATTGCGAGACCAGTCGCTCTCATTGCCGTATGGTTTTGAGGCAACGGTATAGTAATGGTGAGGCTGCAGACCATAATTTTGTTCTTGCAGAACACTGGTGGTCCACGGACCACAGGTTGGAAACCACTGGTTGATATAAATACTTTACAAGCTGTGAATCCTGAATATGGAATAATGAAGCCACCAGCTCTCTATGGACCCAATCTGTAGTCTGTCTGATTAAATCTGTCAGATGGAGTTGAGTGATAGAGTCAACAGAGTGGCAAATGTCTCTTTGAAAGACCTTGAGGCCCTGATTGTTTTTGAGACCTTCACCAAGTCACCTGAAAAATGACTTTTTAAAATTCATTTCCCCCCCCATCTTTTTTTTTTTTTTTTTGCAGAGGGAAGGGCAAGCTTTTTGAACACATGACTGCTAATTAACTCACAATTTAGTTGAAATGAATTGCATGTCTTTTCTGCCTTGTTGCCCCTTTATTAACAAATGTGTGGTTGAGGGGAATAAGATAGTGGCATATGTATGTTCTAGCTGTGATGCTATTACATTATAAATGACTGAATAACCTACAAAGAAGGATTCATTAGGATCCAGATCTGCCACTTCATTTTAACATTTTTTTTGTAAGTCAGAGCCTGTACTGATGCATTTAGTTGCCTTTATGATGTCTCTATTCTTTGTTGTCTCTTATGCTTCACAGTGCTCTTTTACTGCTGTTCTTTTAAAAGATTTTACTTTAATGTTTGTATTATGTAGGCTATACTGAGCATCTTTTCTCTGAAAAGTGATGCACATTTGCCACAGCTCTTTAGGCCCCACAGCCTTTTGCAGAAAAGAAGGAAGACATTCAGAAGACAATTTCTAGTGAATGATACTTACTGTAAAGACGTCGTCATCTCCAACTTCAGTCTCATTGTGGATGGTTGATGATGAAGTTGTAGATCCTAGAAAGACATTTTAAAATGTATGCTGTTGCTGTGCACAATCCAGGAAACAGGTTTATTACACAGGTGCAAAGGAGTATGCATGCTCATCTGGGATTTCACTTTGTTTTTTTGGCAGTCTGTCTTGTGAGTCCCATTTTAAACTTGCCACATTTCAAAAGCCAACTGCTGATGGGGGCGTCCATATTTGGGTGCTCAGGAGGCGAGGGAAGGAGCTAAACAAAGACCTCAGCTGCATACTTAGAACTGATGTATATCTCCTTCTGGATTGAGGTCAACACTTTTTTTGTGTTTTAACAGGAGTAATTAATTTTATCTGAATATTCTTGTGAATTCCCAAGCAGATCATTTAAAATGGGAAAGGAAGTTGTTTCAAAATCAGGAGTAGTCATACTAGGGAAGTTAGAAACATGTAACAAAAAAAAATCTGAACTTTGGTTCATGCAGCAACAGTGAGAATTATTTAAAAACTAAAACTGAAAAAAAAAACCAACAAATCAACAAACCAGTTTTCAGTAAAACAAATCTGTAACTTAATCTAGACATACAAAATCTCTAATGCTTTAATCAAGAGAAAGGACAATTGAGACACTGCTCTGAAAGCAAATTACAAAGTCATGTGCTAGATTTCTTTAAAATGATTCAGTATCAGAATATACAATTGAAGTAACAATACAAAAGGATTTCCTCAGTGTCAAACAGCTTCTAAGAGAAGAACCCATACTATAGAAGACAGAAAGCTGAATCCAAATGTCCCTAATAAAACCTAAGTTGATACAAGGAATAAGATTTTGACTCAAGGAACAGAGATTTCAGTGAAAGGCTTGGGAAAGTCAGTATTCAGGCTGTAAACATACCCAACCTCAAGGATGGAGGAAGGAAATAAAAATATATGAATGCATGCCTTTATTAAAATATTTCCATGCCATCCTATATGAAAAGATCTCACTATGGTGTAGAGGTGAACTAAATCCAGGTTGAGCATTCATTTTCCAGAAATCTGAAATCCAAAGCTGCCCACATGAGTGTCTAAGATAGCGACACTTTTGCTTTCAGATGGTTCAATGTACAAAAACTTTGTTTTATGCACAAAATTATTAAAAATATTCTGCATGATGCAACTTTGTCTTTCTCATTTTCAGTTATACATGAAGCACCTGTCTGTCTATGAATGCAAGGGTAGTATGGAACTCCTGAAAGCAACCCCCCTCCCCAGTGCCAAAGCTATATACACCTCTCTGTTGACAAAAGTTTGCTTCCTTCCCCTGCTGAGAGAAGCCATAAAATTCCAACTGATAAGAAAGGAGTCCATCTCTTTCTCAGCTAAGAAAATTGACTGAAGCCTGATGGGCTTCTTTCCTGGAAAAGACAAGTTCAAATGGGTTTTGCTTGTTTTTCTTTACAGAAGATAGATCTTGCTGAAGAGTGTACTGACTCCACACAACTAAGTGTGGTCCCTAGGAAGGGGGCTTCTTGTGGGGACTCGAACCAGCTGACTATGCCCCAACATACAAGTATTCCCTGCAACTACTCTCCCTTCCAAGGGCAGAAGGTTAGCAGTGGGTATTTTAATTGGATACACATATTTTCAGTTTTCAGTAGCATATCAGCTGTGGAACGGGAGGAATGGGGGAAGACAGGGGAAGGGTCCGAGATACTGCATGAAAATTGTATGATGCAAAGGGTTCCAGAATGATCTCTCATGTAATATGTAGACCTAGTGTATTCCAAAAACGGGGGGGGGGGGGGGGGGGGAGAATACTAAATACTTCTGGTCATAAGCATATAAGGATATGGGAGGGTATGATGTCAGAAGGCAGTTAGAGCTTTAAATTTAATCAAAAACACCCTGAGTTCAGACTGGAAGCATATTGGCAGCCAGAACAATTCTTAAAGAAGTGGGATTATATGATATTGTAGTCAACAACCAAGTTACTAATCTTTACGTTATCCACAACTTCTAAATAATATTCAAGGATATTTTTACACGCAACAGATTAAAGTAGGTTAGCAGCGCAGAGGTAACTAGTGCAAAAAAAGCTACTTTGCCCCAAACCTCCAAAATAAAAAGCAACAACGAGGACTCTTAAATGCTTTCCCGTACCTTCTGTGAGATCTTCAATGGCTTTCCTCACCCCTCTATCAAATGCACGTGCATCTGCAGGGCTTAGAAAAGTGAGCCCAAACTTTCTGTTGTCAACTTTCCAGTGGTGAAACGTGGGGTTTGCTTTCGTGTATGCAAGGTCTTTTTTCACATAGCATTCCAATACCACCTGGGATCAAAAGTACAAAGAGGTAAAATGATGTTTATAATTGAAGAGCATGGATTTGTTAACATAATTCACTATTTCCTTTCTTACAYACTCAAAAAAAAAAAAAGAAAGAAAAGAAAAGAAAGAAAGAAAGAAAGAAAGAAAGAAAAAAGTCCTTCCTGCAATAGTTCCATYAATTCCCCACTTTGCAATTGCAACTATTTCTTTGCAAGTGGTTTCTATAAGAGATCAGCAAATTCTTTGTTTAGTGAAATGAAAATGCTTTAAAACATTTCCTGCTGCACTGAAAATGAAAAAAAATTCTTACATTATATACATTTTGTAATCTGTCTATAGCAAAACTTCAGTTCTCTTGAGGACCAACATTCCCCTCTAAAAGTTGCACTCTTATTTTGTTCATTATATTAACAATCTGCTTGCTTATACAAATGCAAGAGGTGGGTGGGGGGAGGAGGAGGATCTTGTAAAATTAATGAATATATAATAACCTTGCTGTGCATAGTAACATTAAATATATGCTGACATAGATGAATTCATCCAAAAGTAAACTGAATAATCACACACAGGCCGAATGGAAAGCTTGGTTCATTTTCTCCATTTAACTAGATATATTGGACCAGGGGACCCGAGGTCAAATCTCTACTGAATGTAGTAACTGGATGTGCTTGGACTAGGGACCAAGTCTACCCTACTTCATTAAATTGTTGTAAGGATCAAGTGGGAAAATTACATGTATTCTGCTCCAAACTTATTTGAGAGAGACTAAGGGCAATAAAATAAACAATTCTTTTTCTGAAAGCATCCCTATAGAATGAAGCAACCTTATTGTTTTTGCTTATGACAAATTGTACATTTTAAGGGACAACAGTTAGCAATTCTGCAGGAATGTTAGCAAGGAAAAATGATAAAAACTGTTCAGCAAAAATAATACTTAATGACTACATAATGCTTATATCTGTTCAGGGTGGGGAAGATGTGTCAACTGGCAGGAACGGGAGAGGAACGGAGTATCACTGACTCCCATACTCCATGCTCCAACATTTGGCTGCAGTCCCCAATGCTCAAGGATGTAACCTTAAAGTAGGACCTAATATCACTGCAAAATAATAATGTATTTGGTTAAGAATAGTGTGATTAAAAGTAGATCATGCATCTTTGCTGGATACTTCTATTGAAGTAAATCTGTTGCTAGCACTTAGGTTTAGCAGCTAGATGAGATTTTTCCAGCATTGTGATTTAAAAGTCATACATCCCCTTTCTGTTTTATTTTGTGTAAAAAAGCAGGAACTCTTGGTTCTATAAACAGCTGTAGTAAGGACCAGAGTGTCAATCTGCAAGACAAATTGCCCTAGCATTTTTATTCCACCAGCCTATACCTCCAACAGAAGGTGGCATAAATAATTCACTGCCATTTTAAAAGCTTGAATTACTCAGTACAACGTGACTGGCAGGAACTATCCTGCTATGCTGCAGGATTTTTGGGGGGGAAAGTGTCAATTTCACTTTGTAGAGTAAAAACGTGTCAAAACAGGAGATTCAGTGACTATTTCTGGGAATCCACAGAAAATGTTCCTTCAAGTGGGGAGGAAGGCATCTCTCCCTCCTCCCTTGTCATGTGCCATGAGTGATCTTGTGGAATGTGAATAAAGCTGGTTTTGTGCTGGTAGTGAAGTTGGTTGCATATGTGCATTTGTATAATGAACGGAAAGCAGACACTGAATTAGATTAAGTTACCAGTTTGTCTTTCTGCCTTTCTCCATGGATCAGAAACCCACTTCTTCCATTGCCCTCTGGGCACATGACCTTGCAGACACCAACTCTACTAAGACCACCTCCTTCTTGTGGTAACCATCCTCCGCTGGAGTCATCTCGGGTCATAACCACAGCTTTGACTCTCACAATATAGCTGTCACTGTAACAGACAACAAGAAGAAGAGACCATCAGATTGGATAGCATATTCCACAGATTGTAGTATCTGCTTACCTAGATCTAGAGAAAAACCAGCCAGCTTCTACAGTTGAAGATATTAACATAACAGATGCTCTCTGCCCCCACAGCCAAAATTATAGATATAGCAAAGATCCCAGGGTAAATTTGGGCTATGGATTAACATATCTAGCTAAAGCTGAAGGACATGTCATAAAACCACATCAGGACATTCTTAAGGAGATACTTGTTTTTACTCTGAGCAGGAAAAAAAATGGATATAATAACTATTATTATTATTATTAAAATATTTTAATTTGTTAAAATGCAGACCCAAGTTCTTCTTTTTGTGTATGTTTCTGTAGTAGAAGTGCTCCATCTTCCTCTATATGAAGATATTTGGCCTTTCAACCAATTTGACAATGAAAGATCACAAAAGCTCATGCCACAAAAATGTGCGATGCTTAACTGTCAAAAGACTATTTTACATGAAATATGAGGGGGGATAGAAATTAGCAGGAGTTGTAAACCACATTTGAAAGGATTATGGAGTGATGCAAATTAAGGCTATGCAGCTGAAGGATACGCGGAAAAGACATCCAACAGAAGCCCTGTAGCATAAATATTGGTACCAAGGAAAGATCCTAATCCTGTCTCTAATCCCTAACTTTCTGCCATGTCCATTCGAAGATATAGTTACAGGTAAGCAATCTGTCCTTCTTCGTGGTCTCTGTGTATCACACACTTAGGTGTCTAGAAGCAGAAGTTATCATGACACACAACAGACCATTGCCTTTGATATGAAATCAAAGAGGTCTATTGACTATAAATGGTGTACCCATATCCAAAACACTGTAACAATGTACAATGTATCATAAAACCCATGTACCCTTAACAAAGCTTGCATGAGTATGTTTTGCAGGTTTTATAGTAATAAAAAATGACTCTTTGAGCAGCAACCAAAGTTTTGTGTATCCACACATAATATCCTCAATGAGCATCACACAGAGAATAACTATATTAAAACAAAGGCAAACTTGTACAGTCAGCATAATTATTTGTTAGATTAAGAATTTCTGGCCATGGAACATTGCAGAGAAGGTAGAATACTGTAAATGGCGGAAGCTATACAAGAGAGAGAAAAAACAAAACTGTTCCAAGAAATGGGAGGGGAGTCACAAAACTCATGACAACAGTACAGAGTGACCAAGAGATGTATCATTCAAGAATTTTAGCAACCAATAGGTAGTGTGACACAAAAGTAGATGAGTACTCAACATAGCCACCTTAAAAAAGGCGTCTAGTGGGACCCCTTTTAGAAAGATAGTAGAAGCAGAGGCTGCCCTAGTCCCATGAGCCTTAACATGGCTTGGTGGTTACTTTCTAGTGAGCTTGTAACACAAATTAATAGTGCACACTATCAATTTCAATAGTACTTGCGGAAACACCAGTAGTTCCAATCTATCTGGCCCCGAAAAAGAATAACAGGGAGCGTCAGTGGAGCTGCCACTCATGACATGCATTAGGGGAGTTCTGCTCAAGGAATCTGCCAGTAAGTTGTCTTCCCCTGGGAGGTGAACAGTGAAAGGGAAGGAAGATCTTGTTGAGAGATACATCCAATGAATTGGATGGAGGAGATGGGCTTCAAGTGGGATTTTCCTAGACTGATCCCAAGATCAAGGTCTTGTAAAAGATGAAGTGTGAAGTCTATGTTCTCCTGTAGATACGCCACAGACCAAGCAACGAGAGCCAGTCGTCAAGGTAGGTTTACACTGTGAAGTTGCTGGTTCTGACGTACACAGCTACCTCTGCCATTACCTCTGTAAACACCCTTGGTGCAATTGACAAACCGAAGGCCAAGAACCAAAATTAGTACACGTGGTTCCTGACACAAAAGGCCAAAAACCTCAGATGTATCCCAATGTGGAAGCAGGCCTCTTTTAAGTCCAACATCACAAACAAACAACTTGCCATGTTGGAGTAGAGGCAGTATGGATGATACCAACATCATTCAAACCTTCTTTGTCTCATGATAAGTGTAACCCAGATTTTTTGGATCAATTTTTTATTTGTGCCCAAGAGCAACACTTCTCAGCCACAAATTTAGAAAAAAAGTTATATTTTGACTTCTGATATCCTTATGGATGCGACATCAGTACCGATAAACAGAGCTAAAGTCTTTTTTGCATTCAGAGATATTGTATGGCACAACAAGGACAGCATTTAGTCCTCAACTGTTTTTGCCTACAAAGTCAAAGAGGCACTATTTCAGCAGATAGCAAAGCTCTAGATGTAAGAATGGACTTATACATTTGCTACAGAGTGATTTTTGAAAATTTTCTACCATTTCCCTTCCTATATAGAGAATATTTCTCAGACACCAGGAAGAAAGAGTTTACTACTAGTGAAATTACTGCTTGAACAAAGGTTAAATTACACAAGTCATTGCAAATTTTGTGTGAGAACAAGAACAGAGAGATGTGACACTATTCCAGAATGTAGCCAGGATCTCAGTTCCTTATAAAAGAAATGGCATAGGTCTTCTTTGCCACTGTACGTTTCCAAAATGTTCCATGGTGTCCTCAATGTTGCTAAACTGAAACATCCAGCAGTAATGCAGGATGTCTTCTGCATTACATCATTTCTTAAAATAAAATGATTTGCCAACTTCACAGTGACAGAGTCCTCATTGCTATACTGAACTATCATAAACCCTACCTTATTGTTTCCTGTATCCATTTTCCAAAACAGAACTGCTAGAGATAAATGTCTGTAAGTGTGTCAGTTCATTCACACATAAGCCCCACTACTCACCCATACTTATGGTAATGTTTCCTATGTGCAATTAACTCTTGTGCAAATTTCCAGATTTAGCTACTTCAGCTCAATTTGCAGCAGCAAGAGCGCTGAATCTCCAGAATATAGGGCCATCTGACAATGGGGTCACCCCCTTTGTTTGACATCTTTCCACATTTGTCTTCATTCGATCCACAACAAAATCCTTCTTCTAATAGCAAAGTTCATAGCCCCATGAAGATCAGCAGAAAAGCAACAGAAGGCTCAAATGGACTTCCTTTTAGATCTGTATTCCAGGATGAATATTGCATCATCCAAATTCACAGGTACACTACATAACCAAGGCACATATTTACATTGAAGTTCTTACGATACTTTCCCTATTATGTTTCATTTCTTTAAAATATGATAACTTGTTGATAAAACCTTCAATGTGTGACATGGGATGAGTCTTGTTTATAATGGCTTTATTTAGCATTAGAATGACTTTATTTAGCTTTGGAAATTTACTTTGATATTTATAATTTTGTTTATGATTTAAAATGAAATAAAAATCTGACTGATAGCACCAAAAAACTTTGTTCCATAGCACGTTTCATGCTAAATTGACCAAAACTAGCAACCCATTATCTCTAGCTTGACATTTATTGATTGACTGGGAAAAGGATGTCAACATGAGTATCAGTTTCTAGTTTTGTCCATAAATGCCTCACATAGGTGAAAATATATTGAAATCAGAAGCATTTATCTGGGAAGTAGTAGAAGTCATTGATAGATAGATTGCATTTTACTTGGATACCCCCCTTTTAAGAATTTTTTTTTTAGAAAAAACATTTTGAAAGACCAAATATGGCACCACAACCGCCATTTTAAGCTTTTCTGTTAATGCAACGTGAAAAGTTGTGCCACATCACACCAAATCACACATCACACCAAAGTTGTACCACATCACACCAAAGGCATCCTCAACAGAACATGAATACATGAATATATATGTGCCTGAAACCAGACTGCAATGGATCCAGATAATCGGTTTCAACCAGGAATCCCATTTTGTATTTTCCAGCAAGTGAAGTACAGAATCATGCTAATTTGATGTGCGAAGTGGATGTACACTTATCCTGTGTGGTAGCCAGAGAAAGCCCTAAAATCAATGAATTTATGAAGGGATGGTTAAAATCAATGAATGTTTTAACCCTGTTTTAAAGATTTCCAAAATTAGCAGCCACCACTATATTCTATATATCAGTGGTTCCCAACCTTTTTTTTTTTTTTTTTTTTGACCAGGGACCACTTCGACAGGGACCACTCTCCAACATTAGTACCAAGAGGTTTACAAATCAGTTTCTGGTCAACTTTAGATTTGGTTTGGTTATTTGGGGTGCTGATTCAGAAAATTGCATTGCACAGACCACATCAGCTCTAGTTTCTGATACAGAACATATGCCATCCAATAGTCATCATTTGCTCGCCCACAAAAAACCTTATCTAATAATCTAGATCTGATGTGGTATTACTAATCTTTCGTCAGCCTCTCCCCTCCCAAAACACCCATTGCCTCAGCACTATAAGAGGATTTTGCGAGACCAGTCGCTCTTGTTGCCGCATGGTTACAAGGCAATGGTGTAGTAATGATGAGGATGCGAACCACAGGTTGGGAACCATTGCTATATATATGTGTGTGTGTGTGTGTGTGAGCCCACCCGTGCGCGAGTATAATATATTTACAGCCTTTGACTGTGTGGATCATGAAAAACTGTGGCAAGTACTTGGTGGTATGGAGATTCCAAGTCACCTTGTCTGTCTCCTGAGGAATCTGTATAATGGCCAAGTAGCAACGGTAAGAACAGACCACAGAACAACAGACTGGTTCAAGATTGTTGCCAACACTGTGAACTGCCCTGAGTCCCCTTCAGGGTTGAGAAGGGTGGTATACAAATTCCGCAAATAAATAAATAAATAAAGATTGGGAAAGGAGTACAACAGAGTTACACACTCTCACCCTACCTATTCAACTTGTATGCAGGACACATCATTAGACGTGTGGGGCTTGATAAATCCAAAGATGGAGTTAAAATTGCTGGAAGAAAAATTAACAATCTTAGATATGCAGATGATAGCACTTTGATGGCTGAAAACGAGGAGGAGCTGAAGAGCCTTATAACCAAGGTGAAAGAAGAAATCTGGGT